AGTTCCTGAACCTCAACAAACTCAAGAGACAACTGAGTTGCCAACAGTCAGTCCTACTGAGGAGAATGAGGTAACACTTGATTCTCCATATTATTTTACTATTTAGTCCAAACGTCAAATATTTCATTTGCCAGGCAAACCAAATGCCAGGGCCTTTTATTTATTTATTTATTTATTTATTTATTTATTTATTTATTCATTTATTTATTCATTTATTTATTCATTTATTTATTCATTTATTTATTCATTTATTTATTCATTTATTTATTTATTTATTTATTTACTCATTTATCAAAATAAATTAGTAAACCGGTCGTTCTCATAGGCGAAATTATGATAAATTGAATATATTTGTAAAGAAATATAAAAATACATTAAAATAAATATAAAAAAATTAATAAAATATTTAAATTTTTACGTTCTTAATAAAATACAAATCAATGTTTTGAAAGTAAAAATATATTTACAAAGAAATATAAAAATACATTAAAATAAATATAAAAATAAATTAATAAACCTAATAAAATATTTAAAACTTTGAAAGTAAAACAAAAAATAAATTTAAATCTTCAGATCAAAATTAAATTTAAAAATATAGAAATTGAAAAACATTTGTATGGCGAACTTTGAAATTGATTTGCGATTTCACTATTAAAGCAATCCGTCGTGCCCTGGCCGGTCGTTCTCATTAGAAAATATTTCACAAAATGAAATGTTGCAAGCGGCCGGTTGTTCTCATAGCCGCTATATCCCTCTATGAATACGATGTACTTCATATTCTTTTGTAATATTAGTGGATCCAATATAGTCCCACGACATGAATATGGTACATATAGCTCACCGCTGACCGGGGCGCACCCAGTGGGCGCACCTATAATTTCAGTAATTCCCGCCACTTTCCGCCATTGTGATTTGTGTCGCGTTTATGCAAACACAGAAATTTTACAACAAAGAGTCGACATTTACTTAACCTATTTACATCGTAATGCCTCCTAAAAGAAATCAAGCATGGGCTGAACTACACAACAAAATGAAAAGCAAGCGAAGCAAGGATCAACGAGTAAAGAAGACTGGTTCCGCACCGCATGAACTAATCGTGCAGCGTCTGGTAGCCGAACCAGATCACAAGCAAACGTACGAAGCAGTCCAACCACGAGAGTTTGTGGCCTACGAATATGAGGATTTGACCCTAACAAATCTTAAAAAAGCTTGTGCAGCTCATTTTCACCTTCCCGCGAGCTCGTGCGACGTATTGGTAACGAATAAAGGGCCTTCTTGTACGAATATTAACCAAATTCCGCACAGGAAGGACAAGGTATAAAAGACTTTTTTGTATTTTGTTTTACATGCGCACCATCGCACCCAACCCCAAGGGCTTTGGACTCTACCTCTAGAGTCGAATTGAGAAATGCTTTACACAATTTATTTCTATTACGTCTGCGAGTACAAAATGGAAATATCAAGAAGGAAATTATAAAACATGTGATATCTTCTATCACAGTGATGTACTAGCCAGATGGCGGGTGTGGTTGTGCCCCCCCCCGCCCGCCCCCTCTAGTAAAATATTGGGGCCCCTTGGGAAGATTCAGACCAGTACAAGCATGTACATTATATTTTCGTTTCTTGTAATGGAAATTCAATATTTTCCTATGATTTTAATTAATGCTCTGGATTTGTTGGTGATTAAGTGGAGTTGTTATGTGTTAAATAGCACATTGAAAATGGCACTTTACCCAATCTAGAATTCAAACATTTTCCCGGGGCAGCATACCCCAGACCCCCCTAAAATATTATGCATGGATAGCATGAGACTCCAAATACACTTTATTCGAACTACCACAGGGTAAAATTGCTTGGGCCCCTCCTGGTCTCCCCCCCCCTCTTTGAAATTGGGTTGAGGGCATTTTCATCCATGTTGTATTTGTTGTATGGTTGTATGAAGATTCGCTTGTAGAATAATGGTGTTGAAGCACTAAATTATTTGGTTAATAATTTTCATGACATTAAATTAATATTATCATTTTCCTTCTATCAAGTTTACCTTGTGCGGTTTATGGTCACTGAACAATTAGGTGATGGGTATCCAGATAGCCCAGAGGTTTCAGAGCCTAAGGATGTGGTGTTTTCTCAGTCAATAAATGTCAGTAAGACACCAGACACCGAGGAAACTCGCTATCCAAATTCTGTTTCAATAGAATTGTTGCTAAAAGCTGGACAACTTGTAAAACCGAAGGTGAAGAATCAAGTATCATTAAGATTAGAAAAGTTCCATCTTGATGAGCAAGAATGGGTGTCTTTAGCAAACTCTCTTGATTTATTGGTGGATGGAGAGAAATTTTCTTCTAGTGGATTCAGGGATGCATTTCTTGGAGTGACAAAAGATAAAGAAAAATGGGTAATCAAGAAGTACCATGAAAGGGCTGTCAATACAATAACAGGTACACTTAATTCGACTCTTGAAGACCACACACGAAAGCAAGTACAAATGCATTCGGTTGCGAGGCATTTAACTAAAGTGTTTAGCAACAAAGTCCCGCAAGAATTTGGCGAATGCTTCACTTTTAACCGAGCTTACTACACGGTTTACCAAGGGCAACTTGCAACTGTAGAAGAATTTGTGGAAGGAACATTCCGAAAATATGTCAACAACAATGGAAAAGTGTGTAGACCGGAGGTTGGTTACAGTACTCTATTTTTTAGTGAATTTGTCAGTGTCATAATGTAGTAAACATGTATATATATTAGGGGCCATTCACAAAGGAAATACGGCAAAATGATAGATTCCCCCCCCCCCACCCCCTTCCCTTCCTTGTCCGTCCAATATTTGTTTAATACAACAAAAATAGATACTTGTGTTTTGATTTTTTTAAATCAAACGTCCGGATCGTTGAATAGTACCCTCCCCCTATGTCCGAATTTGTCCGGATTTCTCCAACCCCCTCCCCCCCCCCGCCTGGCTCGGACATCCTTTATGAATGGCCCCTTATGAAGTTGACATAGAGTTCAGTGACAAAATCAAAATACACCATTTATATGTAATAAAAAATATACAACATATGGATACATATGACTATATATAACTTTTTATATTTGTACATATAGGTTTGCAGTGCTGAGATGATGACAATCATTGAGAAGACTGAATGCCTAGTGCATTACTCCCACATTCAAAGTTCCAAGAAGCTCATGCTTGTTGATCTTCAAGGTGCAGGCTACCACCTTTATGACACAGAAATTGCAACAAGTGAATTGCGTGCAGACAGTGGTGAAGCATACTTTTGTTGTGGCAATGTTTCCTTCATAAGTATTGAAGAATTTATGGATACACATATCTGCAACAAGTTCTGTGATATGATCAACACAATCGATACAAGCAGCCAATGAACAAAAAGTTTGGACAGAATTCTGGGACAGCACAGATACTATTTTGAAACTTGGCACTGTTTAGGTTTTAGTCTTCTGTTAATTTAAAAAAAAACAACGTTTCCATCTAGGTTATTTCACATTATCAAAACACAAAGCAATAGCAACATACATGTAAAGACAGTAAAACGTAAAATAGATTAAAGTTTATATAGATTAAAGGCTGCAATATTTCTTATGTTGCTCAGAATGGATGTTTTGCCATTCCTTGTCTATTTACAAATGTTGAAACAAATCACTACAAAAATAAATATTAATATGAATATTAATAAATATTAATAAAAATAAATATTAATATTTACATTTTATTATTTACATTTATTTATATTTATTAATACTAATATTTATTAATATTAATAAATATTAATATTTACATGTAATATGTCTTATGTTGCTCAGAATGGATGTTTTGTCATTCCTTGTCTATTTACAAATGCTGAAACAAATCACTACCCAGTCGCTAGTTGTATGTATACATGTGTAGCATTTTTGTAGACTTGTATAGACAGCATGCAGGCTACTGTATACATCAGGTGCTCTCACTAACTCCTGATAAACTGGCTGATGGCTCTTTGTAATGTGCCTTCAGAAATAAATAAGCTGTTGCAGCATCATTTGGCTTTACATCATTAATTGCGGGTATAATACTTTCACATTCTTCTCTCACAGCATGAGTTAAATAATCATCCCCAACACTCATGACTTCAGAGAGATTGGCTACCTCATCAACTGCTTCTTTGCTTACACTGAAACCTGTTAATCAGAGATAACTGAATTTATATAATTAATGTCGTATATGGTATATGAATATATCAAGCTAGCAATTGAACAGTTTTGATTGAACCAAATGCATACAATACATACCACATTGTTCAGCTTCATATTGCTCAGGAAATGCATATAAATGTTTTGGTATTCCCTTGGGTACCTGAGCATCCTTCTGGCACCTTACTCTATGCGAGTTCCATATAGTTTCTCTGAACACCTCCAGTTCTTTTCCAATTATTGGTATATAAACAAATGCCAACAAATCTCTGTTAAGGAAAATAGACTTGCTTAAGGTGGCTCCCTAATGTTGTGCCTATTTGCCCAACATCGTTATAGTACAGGCGTGTTAATGCAGATCGTGCATTCTTTGGTACTTGGATCTAATATCAGTGGAACATATATGAGCTCTCAGTTTTGACAATGTCACTGTTGCCATGGCGACATGATGAGCTATATTAGCCACAAAATTTTCTTTATCTGAAAAATAAAGTCAGCGGCCTATCTTTTTTATTACATATATCAATAGAGCATGATTTTCTGTAACTATTGAGAAACATAGACGGATTTTCATATATTTTACTGGGGTGGTGCCAGAAATTTTAGGGGGGGGGGGTGAGCCGTGAGCAGGTGACTGAAGCAACACAAAGTGTCACCAAACCCCAGTAAGGTCTATATTCTAGGGGTGGAGCACTAGAGCCGCGAGGGGGAGTTTAAAACAAAGAAGCAGAAAAAGGAGCAGAAAACAAAGTATCCCTGGAAAAATTTGAAAAAAATCATGATTTCTAGCTACGAAAAAACGTTTTTTGAAGTTGTCATATCAATGGATTTGGCCTGTCCGATTGTCTGTTGAGACTTGAGAGAGTTAAAGTTAAATGAACCTGTAAAAGTGTAAACCCAATCGGCCAATACACAATATGCTTTTACTTTTATAAAGTCATTGACATTGTGTCGTTTGAATCAGAGTACAATTTATGATGCAACTCCGATGTAAATAATATTTGGGGCGTAAAGATTAAATCTAGGCAAGACTATTTCCTAAAAGAATTAAAAAATAAAAATAATGTTCGTAAAAATTGCAAACGTTCCTTGATAGCAAGCTATTTACATGACACAATTGTTCCAATAAATCAGTGAATGCAAGCGAGGAGCAATTACTTTCAGAGTATTGCACTGTCCTTTTCTATTTGAGTGTACTCCTACGTTTATTTTGTATCACCAACACTCTGCACGTTGGAGTGGACTATTTAATTATTTTTTATTATGCTGAATATTGGGGGGGGGGGTGAAAATGTTTTTGGAGGGCTGGACATTTTGTTTTGGGGGGGGGTTATAGCTAATATTGGGGGGGGGTAGCATCCCCTACACCCCCACAAAATCCGTCTATGTTGAGAAAGTTTAAAAAATTCTTTAGAGCGCGCTTTTGTTAAAAGCGAAAATTTTATAACAAGATTTCCACACTAAAGAATTTTTAAAAAATTGAAATATATAAAATTTACTAAATTTAAAATTTGTTGTAAAAATTTGAAGATAGGCTACCGATGAAAATAATGAGTTTTTAAATCAATGGTCTGTTATTTGCAATAACCACATTTATTACCCACTCACGTACTGGCAATCTCTGGTAGCAATAACCAGAATAGAATGAAAGCAGCACTACCTATCAGTTTGATTGTGCTGATCATAGTGGCCTTGCTCTAATAACTTTAGTAACTGCCTCTTGAAATACTTTTCAAGACGATGGTGTAACTCGCGCCACCAACGATCAATCTGCAACAAAAATGACATTGTACTGTATTTATACATACACTTGCTGTATATAATGTATATATATATACATATATATATATATATATATATATATATATATATATATATATATATATATATATATATATATATATATATATATATATATATATATATAAATATCAAGAAATCATAAACTTCAAAGTAAATAAATTATATTTTACGTTTCGGGGACAAGCCCCTTCTTCAGAATAACGCTACATCATCTCCGTCTCTTGCTTAAATAGTCTAACGTTTTGCTATACATAAATTAATTACACCTCTTCCCTTAAATTAAGCCCACGTGGAACATAGCTATTAAGTTTCTCAATCCAAAAGCTCTCCCTCTCAGTGGGGTTATTAACGTCCGTGACGTCAATAACCTGCACTAAAAAATCACTTAGACCTGAATGTCCCTCCCCCCAAAAATGGGCATATAATTGTTGCCCACAAATATTTCTCTGCCCCCGCCCATATCTATTTAATGCACTCTTGTGGTTATTAAATCGCAATCTGAACGGAGTTATGGTATTCCCAACATATTGCAACCCACAGAATTTACAACTAATCAAATACACTATACCCTCCGAGTCACAATCGAAGCGATGATTAATGCAGAAAGACCGCCCCTCAACATGGCTTTTAAAAGTAGCACCAATGATAACATTGTCACAGATTTTACATTTCTTCTTTCCGCACTTAATATATATATATATATATATATATATATATATATATATATATATATATATATATATATATATATATATATATATATATAATATATATATATATATATATTATATATATATACACACTAAACACAATGCACATATAGCTAGGAAGAACAAGGCACAGGGCAAGGGCACTGTCAATTGCAGTTGTTCGAAAAACACAATATGCCCTCTTCAGAAACAATGCATGACTAAGGACATAGTATACAAAGCAACAGTCACAACAAGCAACCCCAACACGACCATGAATTATATTGGCATGACATCAACTACATTTAAAGAGCGTTTGGCTAACCATAACTATACTTTCGAGCATAAAGAGCATTCAAACAAAACTGAGCTTTCGAAATATATTTGGACATTGAAAGATAGCAAGAAAGATTTTAATATCAATTGGCAAATTTTGAAACGCGCTATTTCGTATACGGGAGGATCAAAACGATGTAATTTATGTTTAGAAGAAAAATTTTGTATTTTGAAAGAAAACCAAAACTGTTTACTCAATAAAAGAATGGAAATTATATCTACGTGCAGACATAGGAAGAAATTTCGCGTAAACAACGCAAACAATACACTCCCACAACTCGATTAGGCATTTCCGCGTAAACAACGCAAACAATAGATGAATGCATGCTTTGTTTCACCCACACACCCCCACGTTCCGGCCAAAACACATATAAGCAGTCCTATTTTTCGACACTAGTCATACCGCCTGATGATTCTTTACTGATGAAACAGACTGTTGCGGAATTTTGAGGTAAGCGAAATTCTACATTTGCTCTATCTTTATGATATTGAGCACTCTTTGCGTTTGGTATTCATAAACCTACTCGTACATATATATATATATATATATATATATATATATATATATATATATATATATATATATATATATATATATATATATATATATATATATATATATATATATATATAGTACTATATATATACTAATATAATTAAATTACCTTGTTGTTGGTTGATGGTCCATAATCTACAGTGTCTTCACCATTTTCATTATTCTCTTCATCATGATGCTACCTCAGAAATGCATGGATAGTGGCCATATGATCAGTTTCAGTTCCATTATCATTTATCAAGCCTCAAGTGCTTACTTATTACTGTTAAATGAAGAATATGAAAAAATTGCTTTATGTGGTTTACCAGATAATTTATAAAAATGTGGCTGTACAATATGGTAAACTACTGCTCCTTGAGTGATATGATAAACTAAAAATACTTTACTGTACTGTACTTCTTGATCTGTATAAGTGTTCTAGGTGCCACCGTCCCACCAGCCTTGGGTCCGAGTTAGAGGTCCAAAGCTTCAAATATATAACATAGTTGCTAAACACGTCTTGTAGCCCATATACGGCAAGAGGAAAGGTGCCATTCATAAAGCCCATAAGCTTATCATGCCCATCTGCTGAATGAGTGTGGTTGGATCCCTAAAGGGTAGGACAAGAGGACATTTAAGATTTAAGAATTATCTATGGGTGCACTGTTTTGGGTGAGTGGTTATAATTTATTACCTGAAAAAACAAATAGAAACTCGACGTTTCGAGCGAAGGCCCTTCGTCAAGAGTTAGACGGCCCAACGTCGAGTTTCTACTTTTTTTTCAGGAAGTAATATAACCACATTGGTACTACTGTACGGCTGTACCTGCACTGGTACAGACAGTTTTAGTACTGTTTTATAAGCTTACTTGGGGACCTTTAACAAATGATGCTTAATAATATAAAAAAAAATTTTTGAAGTGGTATAGTCGCCGTCTATATGTAGTAATTAAGTTTAAAAATTCCATACCAACGATGTAAAAGTACCGGTGGCACCTCTTCTTCGTTTTTTCTCCCCAATGTTCCCGCGGCGTTCCAGCCCTTCTGGATCGACATAACCCATAATGTCGTGACTCGTGTACTAGTAGATCACGGGGTACAGCTAAGTTATGTTGTTCTCTTAGTTTTCGCCGCATTGCCCTATAACCTAGTAATTGTCCTGGACCCTCTATCTCTTCACGCACTGCCCTTTCCACGTATTCGAGCGGTGTATCGTACCGAACGTACTTGACATCATAAAACGCTAACCGTCTGCTTAAAACTCCTAAGCTCCAGGCGTACTGCGCAAAATCCCGGCGAACAAAATCCAAAATCTCTCTATGTGATAGGCTTTGTATAACATTTCGCTCTAGGAAAGACTTTAAATCGTCGTCATTTCCCCAATCGTTATTTCTTATTCCTTCGGCCATCTTTCTTTTTTTGGGTTACCGCTGTCACAATTATCGCGGGCTATGAGAACAACCGGCCGCTTGCAACATTTCATTTTGTGAAATATTTTCTAATGAGAACGACCGGCCAGGACACGACGGATTGCTTTGATAGTCAAATCGCAAATCAATTTCAAATTCGCCATACAAATGTTTTTCAATTTCTATATTTTTCAATTTAATTTTGATCTGAAGATTTAAATTTATTTTTTGTTTTACTTTCAAAGATTTAAATATTTTATTAGGTTTATTAATTTATTTTTATATTTATTTTAATGTATTTTTATATTTCTTTGTAAATATATTTTTACTTTCAAAACATTGATTTGTATTTTATTTAGAACGTAAAATTTTAAATATTTTATTAGTTTATTAATTGTTTTTTTTATATTTATTTTAATGTATTTTACATTTCTTTATAAATATATTCAATCTATCATAATTTCGCCTATGAGAACGACCGGCCACCATAAACAACTATATAACTGATTTTAATAATTTCTCAGTGGATAGCATATCCCAGACCCTATAGGTTTGAGCTGTCGGAAGGTTAGACGAAACAATTTAGTGATAATTTGTGGTATTTACATAAACATAAGTACTTGACTGAAGATTCTATCTATCTATAGCATAATGTAACGTTGTATATCCAAAAATCTGTTTCAGAAAACACACAAAATGCAGTCCCGGGGTGGAAAATGCAGACCCCAACCCCCTAGCATCACGTAATGCAACATCACACCAAACATTTTATCGCCAACAACCATCTGTCATCTTTCCGACTTTCCACACATATTATGGTCACTTTTTGTAGATGCCCCTCACAGATGACTTATTAAAAAAGGTCCCGACCCAAACTCAATTTAAATAAGTTCGAACATTTTAGAGTTAAACCTGCCAAGATCAATGATTATATCAAGATTTACTATCTCGCATGTGCAACAAACGGCATTGTTGCAACTTGCAACAAAAACCAATTTTAATGCATGTTAAAAATGCTCACACATAAGTAACCAAACATGAGACCACATAGTCGGTAAACAATTCTTCCTAACATGAATTGATATCAGTTTTTGTTGGAAATCAGTTCTACTTAATAATGAAAAAGATCACGAATGCAAATTGTTTTGCTTTAATTTTATAGGGCATGGAGTTTCTCTAAAGAAGTGAAGAATCTACAATTAAAAGATGATGCTTCAAAAAAGTGAATCAATGCAATTTTATAATGATTTAATACATTTATGTACAACTGAACATTTGTACACGTGGAAGGGCACGTGATAATATAATCGTAAATGCTATGTATATGTGAAATAAAATAATAAAAACATAATTTGCTAATTTAAAACATTTTCTTTCATTTGGCGTAATTCTCTTTCATTTTCTTTCATTTAGGCTTAAATAACTGTAATTGTTTTGCTTTGTGGAAACGCCATGCACATATATTAGTATATTTCGACGCGGGAACTCCACGGACACTCATATGCATGCGTCACAATAGAATTTGAGCTTTCACAAAGTACTTTTCAAATGACGTAATTTCACTTCAAGTAACCGATTCTATATTCTCGCCATAGCCTAGACTTTCATTCGGTTGGCTTTGGCAGGTTTGGTCAATTTTGAGTCAGCATTTTGTGGACATGTGTGAGCATGGGCGTGCTTTTGTAATGAGCGTATGCAAAAATGCTTATGAGCATATTACTGGATTTCAGTACATATACATGCCTCTGAGCTATAATATATTTTGTTGGATTAATCTTCGCCCAATATGGCAAATTCTTAAATCGAGACTCCGTGCCATTGGTATCGGATGAACTGGGAATTCATGATCGGAAAATATGAATTGTCGATCCGTGAATCTAGTTCTCAAGCTTGTGTGTGGCTAAGGGAGGCCTCAAAAATGTTGGCAATTCGTACGATTGGTAACGAATGGACTGGGAATTCCGATCGAGAATATGATTTGTCGATCCGTCAATCTAGTGCTCAAGCTCTCGAGTGGCTAAGGGAGGCCTGATATATGATAATTGGTTCCAAGAAAATGGATATATGATAATTGGTTCCAAGAAAAGGCTTAGTCAAGTGACTGCCGATCCTGCTATCAGTGTAGGTAACTTAGAAATTAAAAGAGTTGAAATGACAAAATCATTGGGCCTAATGATAGACGAGTCTTTAGACTGGACCGCGCAGGTCGAACACGTTTCAAAAAAGGTCACTTCAGGCCTTGCTATTCTCAGACGACTCCGGGATACAGTCGAATTCAATACCTTAATAACAATATACCAATCCATAATTCAACCTTATTTCGATTATTGTGCTCAAGTGTGGGATTGCTTAGGGAAACCATTAGCCGCTAAAGTCCAAAAATTACAAAACAGAGCGTTTCGAATAATCACTCGTGAGAATTATACGACACGATCGGCTGATATATTTAAACAAGCTAAAAGTTCCGAACCTCGAAAAAAGAAGAATGCAACAACTTTCAATTCTCATGTACAAGGTGAAAAACAAATTGGTCCCTGATTACTTGTGTGATATGCTCACAAATGTTGGTGATGTACACGACCATAACACAAGAAAGTCGGGAGTCGATTTGACATTGCCTAAACCAAAAACAAATAGTATGAAAAATGCATTCTCCTACAGAGGTGCGGAAGTCTGGAACTGCCTTCCTGCATCGGTAAAAGCATCAACAACTATTGTTAATTTTAAATCTAACTTGAAGCATGCAAATTAACATCAAGTGATCCTGCCGTTTCCATCTACCTAAAATAATTTTCTTGTAATTATTTCTGTTTGTGTGAGCACGGCCGGTTGGCAGATCACCTTTTTTCCTTTTTATATCTTGTACATAATTAATTTTAGTATAGGTGAAATTGTACCGTGTTGAAATATAGTTAATAATAATAATAATAATAATCCGTACGATTGGTAACGGATGGACTGGGAATTCACGATCGGAAAATATGAAATGTCGATCCGTGAATCTAGTGCTCAAGCGTTCGAGTGGCTAAGGGAGACCTCAAAAATGTTGTCGATCCGTACGATTGGTAACGGATGGACTGGGAATTCACGATCGGAAAATATGAAATGTCGATCCGTGAATCTAGTGCTCAAGCGTTCGAGTGGCTAAGGGAGACCTCAAAAATGTTGTCGATCCGTACGATTGGTAACGGATGGACTGGGAATTCACGATCGGAAAATATGAAATGTCGATCCGTGAATCTAGTGCTCAAGCGTTCGAGTGGCTAAGGGAGACCTCAAAAATGTTGTCGATCCGTACGATTGGTAACGGATGGACTGGGAATTCACGATCGGAAAATATGAAATGTCGATCCGTGAATCTAGTGCTCAAGCGTTCGAGTGGCTAAGGGAGACCTCAAAAATGTTGTCGATCCGTACGATTGGTAACGGATGGACTGGGAATTCACGATCGGAAAATATGAAATGTCGATCCGTGAATCTAGTGCTCAAGCGTTCGAGTGGCTAAGGGAGACCTCAAAAATGTTGTCGATCCGTACGATTGGTAACGGATGGACTGGGAATTCACGATCGGAAAATATGAAATGTCGATCCGTGAATCTAGTGCTCAAGCGTTCGAGTGGCTAAGGGAGACCTCAAAAATGTTGTCGATCCGTACGATTGGTAACGGATGGACTGGGAATTCACGATCGGAGAATATGATTTGTCGATCCGTGAATCTGGTGCTCAAGCTTGTGTGTGGCTAAGAGAGGCCTCGAAAATATTGTCGATCCGTACCATAGGTAACGGATGGATTGGGAATTCACGATGGGAAAATATGATTTGTCGATCCCTCAATCTATAGTGCTCAAGCGTTCGAGTGGCTAAGGGGGACCTCAAAAATGTTGTCGATCCGTACGATTGGTAACCGATGGACTGGGAATTCACGATCGGAAAATATGAAATGTCGATACCTGAATCTAGTGCTAAAGCTTGTCTGTGGCTAAAGGAGGTCTCAAAAATGTTGTCGATCCGCACGATTGGTAACGGATTGACTGGGATTTCACGATCGGAAAATATGAAATGTCGATACCTGAATCTAGTGCTAAAGCTTGTCTGTGGCTAAAGGAGGTCTCAAAAATGTTGTCGATCCGCACGATTGGTAACGGATTGACTGGGATTTCACGATCGGAAAATATGAAATGTCGATACCTGAATCTAGTGCTAAAGCTTGTCTGTGGCTAAAGGAGGTCTCAAAAATGTTGTCGATCCGCACGATTGGTAACGGATTGACTGGGATTTCACGATCGGAAAATATGAAATGTCGATACCTGAATCTAGTGCTAAAGCTTGTCTGTGGCTAAAGGAGGTCTCAAAAATGTTGTCGATCCGCACGATTGGTAACGGATTGACTGGGATTTCACGATCGGAAAATATGAAATGTCGATACCTGAATCTAGTGCTAAAGCTTGTCTGTGGCTAAAGGAGGTCTCAAAAATGTTGTCGATCCGCACGATTGGTAACGGATTGACTGGGATTTCACGATCGGAAAATATGAAATGTCGATACCTGAATCTAGTGCTAAAGCTTGTCTGTGGCTAAAGGAGGTCTCAAAAATGTTGTCGATCCGCACGATTGGTAACGGATTGACTGGGATTTCACGATCGGAAAATATGAAATGTCGATACCTGAATCTAGTGCTAAAGCTTGTCTGTGGCTAAAGGAGGTCTCAAAAATGTTGTCGATCCG